CATATCGACCCCTTTCCCCTAAGCCCCCATTTTAGTGCCGCACATTGCGACGCAGTCCTTTTTAAATTAAAAATAATACTTGTTAAAAAAAAAAATCTTCGTTACCGCATTTGCACCCCCCTTACATATTGACCCTTTTCCCCCTAGCGCATTTGCACCCCCCCTACATATTGACCCTTTTCCCCCAAGGCCCCCCTTTTTTTTATCCCTCGCGCAAGCATGCATGCTATAAAATTTGCAAGAGCGATTAGTTGGCTCTCTAAGAATGTGGAGGTTAGTGCGATCAGTGAGGGTCGGCTAATGAGCAAGTTTGGAAGGTGAGTGAGTAAGGGAGTTGGGCGACCCGATGAGCTGGTACTGAGTACGCGGGGTTGACGCGTGGCCACGAAGGACTGTGGCACGTGGGCGAACCTGGCTTGCACGCTCAGGCCAAGCGGGGTGACGACTCTGTGTGGCTTTGGGCGTGCGGGGCGACGAACTGCCCGCATCGAGAGAAGAAAGAAAGAGAGAGAGAGAGCGAGACGGGGATATGGTGGAACAACGTCTTTTTCTCCTTACCTTCTATGTAAAGTTTTGATTCCAACGTTGGTTAATTTTGCTGCGGCACCTTCGGATTTCTTGTGTGAATCATCTCGGACTATCTGCTTTGTGTGTATGTATGCATGAGACTGGATGAACTCGCGCCCCCTCTTTTTGAGTTGTCTTTAATCTCCAATTTTGTTTTGCTCAATTTCAATTTCGTCACTCTCGAGTACCCATCTGTGTTGAGCGTATGACCAATGAGGCACTACCGTCTAAGAAGAGAGGAAAAAAAAAAAAGACCAAACCCTTCGTTACCGCATTTGCACTCCGCCCTACACAATAACCCCTTTCCCCCAAGCCCCCATTTCAGTGCCTCACATTGCGGCGCAGCTGCCTTAAAGAAGAAAAAAAAAAAAACCAGACCAATCGTTACCTCATTTGCACCCCCCCCGTGTTCAGTGCCGCACATTGCGGCGCAACCCTCTTAAAAGAAAAAAGAAAAAAAAACGGCATGATCTCGAGTCCATGACAGTTGAGGTTAGTTGTACTTACCTCAAAGCAAAGGGTCAAGTGACTCGGTTCAACCGCTGCAACGCTCTGGATTGCAAAAGCAATGGAATGCCGTCATTGCCTTCAGCCTGACATTCTTTTCTAAGTATGTGGGCAGCCAGTCCATACAGAACGACTGGTAGAATATTATGGGACACAACACATGGTGTGCGTCGTGCGGTACTTTGTGCCCTCAAAGGATAAAACAAAACAAAGCAACATATTTTTATCCTTTGCATGTATGTTTTTTTTTTTTTTTTTCTCCTTACAGTTCAAAATTTCTTCTACTGTTTTTTTTTTTTTTTTCGACTTTTCTGTTTTCTTCGTTTCAGTCACAACCCCACAGTGCACTGGGGCAGTTTCTCGGCCACAGGCCCACATGTGACAGGTCCACTATGGACTGGAGCAGTTTTACGACAGCGGCGAGGGGCAGTGGGCAGTCAAATGCCAGTCATTGACTCATTGGGCCCACTGGGGAGCACCCACAGGCCACGGCGGCCATCCATGGGGGCAGGGCTCGGTTGTCTGGGTGGGGGGTTGTTGGGGTTAGGGTACCGAGGCGGGCCAGGACAGAGTCTACACTAGTGTGTGTCACGGTGACACCGGGCTTGGGTGTGTGTTGGCCGGCCCGATAACCTGGGGCGGTGTACTGGGGCCGGGAGGCTGGGTGTGGGGATTCAGGATGCGTGCTGACGGGCGTGGATTGCATGGTGCGGGGACGGTGGCGAAGCGCATTGTGCGGGGTAGGGGTCAACCTGCAGGGTGCGGGCCGCGGGGCTGGGGTCGGGTTGCGGTCGGTGTCCCCTAGCGGGGTGCGGGCTGCGGGGGCGGGTGCGGGTTGCGGGGTCGGGGTAGCAAGGGCAGGGTTACAGGGTGTGGGCACCGGCTGCGGGGCCACGGGGGCGTCACGGCGCCGGCGGTCGGTCGACGGGGCTCAGTTGGGGGGGTGTCTCTTATACACATCTAGATGTGTATAAGAGACAGGGGTTAGGGTACCGAGGCGGGCCAGGACAGAGTCTACACTAGTGTGTGTCACGGTGACACCGGGCTTGGGTGTGTGTTGGCCGGCCCGATAACCTGGGGCGGTGTACTGGGGCCGGGAGGCTGGGTGTGGGGATTCAGGATGCGTGCTGACGGGCGTGGATTGCATGGTGCGGGGACGGTGGCGAAGCGCATTGTGCGGGGTAGGGGTCAACCTGCAGGGTGCGGGCCGCGGGGCTGGGGTCGGGTTGCGGTCGGTGTCCCCTAGGGGCTGTCTCTTATACACATCTAGATGTGTATAAGAGACAGGCGTTGCTGATTCCACGGGGGCGGGGGTTGGTGGTCCCCGCCGCGGGGGTCCGGGGGCCATCTCCTCACACTGGCTACGCCCCCGGGGATACCTGCCTGATAACGCTGGAACAGGCACGAACCGGTCAAAAAGTTTGGACGCCTTTTGTCGTTTAGCGAAAAATTTGCATCGGCACTACAAATTTTAGAGGCTTCCCGCCTTTGCGCGATCACTCACAAACTGGACGACAACTTGTGTTCTTGATTTTGCGAATACAAGGAGACCATGCCGCTCTGCTGCTAGCCTAGACAAAACGCCCTATCAGCCATCGTGCGCCCATCATTAATCACCCGAGCATTTCGTTTGCGATCGTCACATCTTCCTTCTCCATCTTCCTTCTCCATCATCACCATATTCCTTCTCCATCTTCTCCATCTTCCTTCTTCATCTTCTCCATCTTCTTCATCTTCCTTCTCCATCTTCTCCATCTTCCTTCTCCATCGTCACATCGTCCTTCTCCATCTTCTCCATCTTCCTTCTCCATCTTCTCCAACTTCCTTCTCCATCTTGTCCATCTTCCTTCTCTATCTTCTCCATCGTCCTTCTCGATCGTCATTTTGTTCTCCATCGTCACATTTTGCTTCTCCATCTTCTCTGTCTTCTCCATCTTCCTTCGCCATCTTCTCCATCTTCTCCATCTTCCTTTGCCATCTTCTCCATCTTCCTCCTCTATCTTTTCCATCATCCTTCTCAATTGTCATTTTGTTCTCCATCGTCACATTATGCTTCTCCATCTTCTCCGCCTCCATTTTCCATCTTCTTCGTCTTCCTTCTCCATCTTCTCCATCATCGTTTTTCCCCATCGTTCATCGCACGCCCATCCGATCGATCGGGCGTTTAGTTCGCGATCGCCTTCGTAGCCATCGCGCTTTCCAACTTTCGTCTTCTTCTCTATCTTCCTTCTGCATCTTCTTCATCGTCGTTTTACTCTCCATCGTCACAACTTCCTTCCCCATCTTCTCCGTCTTCCTTCTCCATCTTCTCCATCGTCGTTTTATTCTTCATCATCACATCTTGCTTCATCGTCCTCCATCTTCCTTCTCCATCTCCCACGATCGTTCATCCTCCATCTTCCTTCTCCATCTTCTCCATCGCCCTGTTCAATCATCTCTTTCATCATTTTCGACATCTTTTCCACTTTCCTTCTCCATCGTCCTTTTCATAATCATGTCCATCTTCCTTCTCCATCTTCTCCATCATTGTTTTCCACCTTCTTCAACTTCCCTCTCTATGTACTCCATCCTCTCCATCCTCCAATTCAGTTATCTCTTTTATCATTTTCAACATCTTCTCCACCTTCCTTCTCCATCTTCTCCATCTTTCTTCTCCATCGTCTCCATCGTCTCCATTCCAGTCCTCTTTCATCATCTTCTCCATCATCTAATTCGATCGTTTTTTTTATCATTTTTGACATCTTCTTCACCATCCTTGTCCATCTTCTTCTTCTTTTATCTCCATCCTCTCCAGCGATCCATTCCAGTCTATCGCCATCTCATCGAGCTCTGATAGGAAAGAACTTGCCTGGCGAAAATCGGCATCTCAAGTGGAGGAGCGATCGTCAAACGTCAGCCATCTTCTACATCTTTCATCTTCCGCGAGGCGTCGTCTTCATCTCCATGTTATTTATGGAGGTCTCCCAACATCGCCATATCATCAAGCGACCATTGTAAAACGCTCACTTGTTGATCACGGGGGACGTTAATTGTTACCGACGAAGAAGGAGCGAATCACGCCCTATCATCAAGAAGCGATCGTAAACCGCTCGCCTGTTTACGCGGGGATCATGAAGTGCCGGCGGCAGACAAGGAGCGAGTCATATCCATAAAAAAAAGGTGGGCCGATGTCATCGAAACGTCCATGATGGGACAGTTTCAGTGTTCAAACCGGAATCCTTCCCTGTTTGTTAAGCGTTGAACTATCATGGTTGTTAATTGAATCTCTCGTAGATGTTCTTTAACCCTGGTGGGTGGCATCAAACCCTTTTAGTCAGAACCCTTCTTGTTCAAACCCTTCTTCTTGTGCTCCGAACCATTCTCATTATCTATCAAACCCTTCAAGTTGTATATCGAACTCTTGTAGTCGTGCAATGAACCTCTCATGTTCTGCATCGAACCTATCTCGTTGTTCATTGCACCCTTGTAGTTATGCACCAACACGTTCCAGTTCTGTGGAGGATAGATCTACCCCAGAGTTACGAAGACCACATCTATAAAGCGGATTTATCCTACCCACAATCTTCGGAGCGAATCTATCCTCCACACAATGTGTACATCAAAACCACCCATTTGTGTGGAGGATAGATCTGGCACAAAGCCTGGAGATAGGGTTCGGGTGTGCAACAGACAATGTGTGGGGTGGATAGATCCTCGTTTGAGACCTTAAAGCGGGGCGTCGAAGCCACGTCCACATCTCTGGGGCGGATCTATCCTTCCCACAATGTATGTATCGAAACCTTCTAGTTGCGCGAAGGACAGATCCGCCCCAAAGCTCGGAGACTGCCTTCACGCATCCTACAACGACGTGTGGGATGAATAGATCCTCCTTTGATAACTCAACGTGGGACCTCAGAGCCGCGTCCACATCTTTGGAGTGGATCTATCCTTCGCACAATGTGTGCAGCGAAACCTTCCAGTTGTGTGATGGATATATCCATCTCGGAGACGCGTCCAAATCTCTGGAGTGGATCTATCCTCCACACAATATGTGCATCATAGCATGTCCACATCTCTGGAGCGGATCTATCCTCCTCATAACGTGTTCATCGTACCCTTCCAGTGGTGTGGAGGATAGGTCCATCCCAGAGTTACGAAGATCACATCTCTGAAGTGGATATATCCTTCGCACAATGTGTGCATCGTACCCTTCCTTTGGAAGATAGATCCTGATGCTCACATTGTGGGGAAGATAGATCTAGCTTAGAGCTCGGAGACAGGCCTCGGGCGTGCTATGGATAATGTGTGGGACGGATAAATCTTCTTTCGAGACATCAACGGGGTACCTTTGGACGGATAAATCCTTCTTTGAGACCTCAACGTGGGGCCTTGAAGTTGCGTCGACATCTCTCTGGAGCGGATCTATCCTTCACACAATGTGTGCATCGAAACCTTCCAGTTGTGTGGAGGATAGATCCGCCCCAGAGCTTGGAGACAGGATTCGGGTGTGCAACAGACAACGTGTGGGGCGGATAAATCCTCCTTTGAGAACTCAATGCGGAACCTCTTAGCCGCATCCACATCTCTGGAGCAAATCTATCCTACACACAATGTGTGCAGTGAACCTTCCTGTTGTGTGGAGGATATGACCTCTTGAGAGACGCGTCCACATCTTTGGAGCGGATCTATCCTACACACAATGTGTGCACGGAAAGTGTCCACATCTCTGGAGCGTATCTATCCTCCCCACAATGTGTGCATCGTACCCTTTCAGTTGTGTGGAAGATAGATTCATCCCAGAGTTACAAAGACCACATCTCTAGAGAGGATTTATCCTCCACACAATGTATGCGCGGAACGCGTCTACATCTTTGGAGCGGATTTATCCTCCTCACGATGTGTGCATCGTACCCTTCCCGTTGTGTGGAGGATAGATTCATCCCAGAGTTACGAAAACTACATCTTTGAAGCAGATCTATCCTCCTCATAATATGTGTGTCGTAGCTTTACTGTTGTGTGAAACATCGATCCCGATGCAGACCTTGTAGGCATGATAGATCCGACCCAGAGCTCAGAGATAGGCTTCGGGCATGCTAGACAACGTGTGGGGGGATAAATTTTATTTTGAGACCTCAATGTGGAACCTCAAATCTGTGTCCACATCCCTGAAGCGGATCTATCCTTCACACATTGTTTGCATCGAAACCATAGAGTTGTAGGGAGGATCGATCCACCCCAAAGCTCATAGACATGCTTCGAGCATACTACAGACAAAGAGTGGGACGAATAGATCCTCCTTTGAGAACTCATCGCGGGACCTCGGAGCCGCGTCCACATCTCTACAACGGATCTATCCTCCACACAATGTGTGTATCGAAACCTTCCAGTTGTGTGGAGGATACATCCTCCAAAGCCGTGTTCTCGCAACCGTGTTCAAATCTCTGGAGCGAATCTACCTTCCCCACAATGCTTCATTGTACCCTTTTCTGTTGTGTGGAGGATAGATCCGCCCCCGTGCTTGGCGAGAGGCTTTGGGCGTCTGCAGACAATGTCTGGGGTTGGCAGATCCTCCTTTGAGAACTCAACGAGGGGCCTCGAAGCCCCGTCCATATCTCTGGAGAAGATATATCCTCCACACAAAGTGTGCATCGAAACGGACGTCCTACAGACAACTTATAAGGTGAATAAATGTTCCTTTGAGACGTAATAGTCGCGTTGACATCCCTGGAGCGGATCTATCCTGCACACAATGTGTGCATGAAAACCATCAAGTTATATGAAGAACACATTCACCTCAGGAATGGGACAACGTGCGGGACGGTGTCGAAACCTTTGGTTCCCGAATCAAGTCCCGACCCTTGAGACATGATATATGGCTAAAGTGTGCACCATAGAGGAATCCGGAATGAGGGAGCAAGAGAGACAGAAAGGATAAAGGATTAATGCAGGAGTGTCGGCGCCTAGGACCCAAGAGGATGCCCAAGGGCGCCAGAGCCCTAAGGCCAGGAATAGACCAACAGAGTTGCGGACAACAAAATGTTGCAGAAAATTAGTAAGGTGATCCCCTTTCTCAAAGAAGGGACCGCTGAGAAAATATTACCCTGAGGCCGAGTACCGCAGGTAGAAGGGGGCCAACGATGTCAAGGAAAAATTGTGCCTTGACGCCGATACCGGAGATTGAAACACGTGCTCTAGGGGGCCACTAGAACTCGGCAGGAGAAAAGCCTAAGGGTCGTGGGCCAAGCAAAAAGGGTCAGTAGGCACTGTCCAAACAAGCGTTCAATCCATAGGCGGCCTGTAAAATAAGTGGTCTTGGGGGCCAGAATAAAAGTTCTAAAAAAAAAGAACAAGATACTCAATTTTGAGGCTCTAGACCTTGAAATTAAGAAGGGGCTCAAAGGGGATGCAACGGACCACAAAGGCTTTGAAAGTGGAAGGCCCAGGTACGCTAAACCTGAAAAATAAGGTCCTATTGTGATCCGACGTAAAACGGGGAACAAAGGTGAGGAAAAAAAAACCTAGAAAAAAAAATGGGAGAGGCAGGAGAGTATGGGAATGGAAAAAGGGAAAACCGCCACATTATGGCTAACTTGCCCTTTCCCAAAAGAGGCCTAGATGCCTTGAATAGGACTGCATCAAGACCAGATGCAGTTGGGACAAAAACAGACCAAAACGGGCACCTAGAGCAAAAAAAAAAAAAAAAAATCATTTTATGACCGAATTCATCCCAGGATGAACTGGTTACAAAATATCTGCATTATTCTTGACTTTCAAAGAGAAAATGAAGAAAATCAAGGAATACGTAGGCCGAGATGCATCGGACCACAAAAAGTAAAGCACACACATGTTTCAAATACATTCAGAGTCAATATTGTGTTCGGATGCACTTGCGGATGTGTCGGTTCATTTTGTTTCAGTTTGGGCAAGCGTGGGGGCAATGGAGCTAGGAAAGAGGTTACCATTGCCCTCTGAAATGTAACGGATTACAAGGGAGTGTCAAGTATATGAGAAAGTGAACCTTGACAAACGCACGACACTAGAAAAGAGGGCGCCAAATATGGAATGTCAAATTACGACGATGTACGACAACCATGAGATTACCATCACGCGGCCAAGAAAAATCGACACACTTAGACGCGTCGAGAAAAGGAAATTGGGA